ACAGGTGAGAACTGCTGTTCTTAGGACACTTTGTCCCTTTTTTAGTAGTATACAGTTGGTGTGTGAGGCAGGCACACATTCAGGAACAGCAGAAGAAAGCTAGAAACAAATAGTGGGATGGTTTGTTTTTTAAAAAGATTTAGGTCTCAGCTTCTGTGTTAGTTTTTGTGCTACTTGAACAACATCCTGGAGACGGGGAAATTTATACAAACAAATTTATTGGCTCATGGTGAGTCTGGAAGTCCAAGATCACAGGGATGGCATCTGGCAAGTGTCTGGTGCTGTGCTGCCCCATGGAGAGGACAGGTGTAAGAGGGAAAAGGGTGGGGCCTGCCTGCAACCTAGGGTCAGTCCCTTCATGGGGCGGAACCTCTGGGCTTAGGCCTCTGGGGGTTCACTCCCTGGTATTTGCATGGCAGTTCCATTTTGGAATGAGGCTTGATTGCTTGAGCAGGGACGTACTGGTGGTAGCCACTGTGCTTTTGCCTACATGCCTCGCAGAGTCTGTTTCTCTGCCTCCTCTTGGCTCAGGTAGAAAAGTCTTCAAAGGCACCATGGGGCAGGAGTGCATTCCCATACCAGGCTCTTCCTTGTGTCAGCTGAGTAGCACCACACAGTGAATAGTTGCTTACTAAGAGGCAGTATAAGAGAAAAGCACAAACACGTGGACCTCAGATCAGAGTTGACAGAGTCTGCTCCTTGGGGAGGGCTTACACGAGCAGCTTAAGATCTGCAGTGCTGATAGAGTGCTGCTGCCCAGTCATTGCCCTGCGCCCCGTATGGTGTTCACCTCACACCGGGAACAGATGGAGGAGGAGTGGAAGCTTGGGGCTCTTTTATCTTAGGACTTGTGTGCCTCGTTTCTTGTGCAGTAGTGTCACTTAGGCTCTGCGCAGCTCTGCGAGGGGACCGTGGTCAGAGAGAAGTGCAGGTGCCTGAATTGGAAACAGGTAGGTGGGGGGAAGCTCTTGGTGACTCCTGGAGATGGGGAGGAGCTCAAGCGAGCAGGGTCAGTGCTGGGAACGTGGGGCACCCTGGGAGTGCGGGGCGCTAGGCAGGCTGCACCTGCAGTGTCTCCTGCTGTTCTGTTGGTAACCTGAGTTACTAGAAATTTTCTTTCCCTTTGCATTTCATCCTTTCACCATTTATTCGGCACATCAATGCTTTTAACAGACAAGGATTTCTACGGGTAATCTAATTTTAAAATCTGAGTTACAGACTTTAAATATGTTGAATTTATAGTGCTGATGAAACAGGTTTTCTGAGGTATTGTGAAATTTAGTTCTGGAATTCAGAGTTTGATGGTGGAACCAGAGATCTTCCATCCTGTTAATGGTACTAAACTCACCTGCTAGTAATAGAAAAACCACGGTGCTGTGGTACATGGGGCCACACTGGTAGGTCAGATAGTATCAGCTTGATTACTTGGGAGTGTTTGTTTAATCAGATGTGCACAAGGTTCTTTCTATAATTGATTTACTTCTTTTTTGCAGTCAGTATTTTGTAAATCAGAACAGAATAATCCCAAGTGTTTAGTAAAGGTTAATGTGTATGAGTGGTTTACTTTTAAACGTTCAGATATTTACCTTGAAGAAATACCATTTCATTCTCCTTTACTGTACCTGGTGCTTACAGAAGAGCTCAGGAGTTCAGTGGGAGCAAATGAACATCCACATATTCACTAAAACAGACTAGGAGTTGCGGAAATGTTGATACTGTATTGTATTATGCTGTTTCTGTGATTTATACATCACTTTTTGTTCTGTAATTATAAAACATTTGCTGGTGTGCTAAACCTGTCATTGGATGCCACTACAGGATTAAGTAGCTGAAGCCTGGTATGTACAGTGCCCCACTCCTTGAAAAAAAATCAGCACATTTCAACAGCTTCTTTAGGGAAGTAAGTTTATATTTGGGCTAACAATGGAATAGAAGGGGCCCAGCATTTATAATTAGTGAACAGAAGGGTCAGATACCTAAAAATGTCTGACTTGTAATACTTAATATAAGTTTTATTGTGGTGGTGTAAGTTAATGTAATCCAGGAGTGTGATGTGACATATTCGACATTTATTTTCCTTTTTAAAATGCACATACTTGGTAGACTACATTAGTCACAGGAATATTTTAATGAAAGCACAAATTGTCTGACTTCTTCTTAAACTCTGTATTTTCAGCAGTGGAGGCTAATAGTGTTCTCAAACTTAAGCATGCACAGCCATTGCCTGGAGTTTGGTGGGACGGATTTTGGAATTCTGGGCCCAGAATGAGGGTGCCATATGGTGACAGTCACCCCAGTATTGCCAGTTTAAAAAGTATTCAGAGTTAGTAGGCAGAGAATATCCAAAATGAAGACATAGTTGGACAACTCATTGCTATAGACTCTCAGGTAATAAGAATCAAGCAGAGGGGCTGGGGATTTAGCTCAGCGGCAAAAGCGCCTGCCTGGCAAGTGCAAGGTCGTGAGTTCGGTTCCCGGTACCGGAGAAAAACCAAAAAAAAAAGAATCAAGCAGACCAGGGTTAGCTCAGCAGTAGAGCTGACATGCTAGCCTGAGTTCACAATCCAAGAATAAAAGAATTCAGAGTTCATAATTAAAGTATAAAGTGTTCATTATCAGTTAAAGTATTAGTTCAGAAAGTTATCAGAATCCTGATTAAAATATCACATTGCTTTCTGTGTGTCTTTTGTGATACTATGAATGTTTCTCTTATATTAATATGATTTCTTAATCTTTTGTGTCAGTTTTTCTTATCTTCAATAAATGACACAGAGATTTAAAGAACAGAAGTTTATAGAATTGAAAAGATGTCCCTAAAATGTGAAGAAGTTACTTAGGTCATAAAGTTGTCTCATTTGAGAATAGTAAAAAGCAGTTTGTTGAAATTTGGGAAATATACTCTTTTGTACTCTTACGATAAAGAATTACAGAGATAATATCGCTTTCAGTATTTTTAGTATTGTGACATTTATATTTTAATTTTGGATCTCCTTTGGCTTTATACTGAGCAACACTTTTAAAAACGTTCAGTTCTTGGAATTGGCAAGTGTGCTCAAAAATAGTATTTCCATAAATGACTATTTCCATAAATGACTCTAATTCAAACTTTACTAATTCAATTTTTTTGTTTTCATTATACTTTTTATTAAGATTGGAAGAAATTTCTCATGTTTCCCTCTCGACTTAGAAAGATGTGCTGAATTACTGGATGTGGCAGCACGTCTGTACTCCCAGCTACTTGGGAGGCTGCAGCAGGGTTCCCAGTTGAAGACCGGCCCGGGCAGCTTAGCAAGACCCTGTCTCAGAATTTTGAAAAGGGCTAGGAATGTAGCTCAGCACTCCCTGGATTCAGTCTCCAGTATCAGTAAAGGAGAAAGAGGAAGGAGGTGTTAAATTCTTTTTTTGTAATTTAGATATTTCTGAAAAGTTTTTATTATTGGGATATGGTCAACATGCCCAGAAAAAATGTACTGATCTGAAGTGTTTGGTTTGGTGAGTTCTGATCCCCTGTAACAGTTCCTCCGCAGATGTCTCCCCTGCCCCTCTCCTTAATTCCCACTGCCTGGCGCTACCTGGGTACCAGTGTTAATTTCTGTCACCCTAGAGTGGACTTGCCAGAATTGGGGTTTTACACTCACGTGACCATACAGTATGTGTGCTTCTCTTGCTTGACAGAATGTTTTAGGCATACATATTATGCTATTGATTACGTCACAGTTTTCTTATTATTGGCTAGCATTCCTTTTCATTGATTTAATAAAATGTGTAAATCCATACTCCCTTTGATTGGCACTGCTGGCTTTCCATACTCCCTTTGTAAATCCATACTCCCTTTGCTTGGCACTCCGTGGATGTGTGTTTTTATGTTGCGTTACTCTGAATGCTGAATATCTGAGCATGGACCCCTTGGTTGTAGAGTAGATACATGTGTTGCTTTATGAGGACCTGGTCAGTAGTTTCCTGCCAGCAGGACATGAGAGGAAGGTGGAAGCGGAGTGCTTGCAGATGCAGTGCTACCTGGTCCCTGGCCCAGCCGAGTGAGTGGGGTGGGGAGGTCCTCCTGCACATGGAGGCACCATCTGGGTAGTGGGCACCACCCACCAGGATGTCGGGTCATTTGGCTTGTGGCGCTTGGCACAGGTTACTGACCTCGGCCTCAGAACTGTAATAAAAAATGCTGTGGGTGACACTCCTAGAGGTTGGTGCCCTGCTGATGTGTGTGAAGCAGTCAAAGGATTTCTAAAATTGTACCATTAATTACCGAGTATCTGAACCAACCACACCGACGTGTCAGTGAAATGTGAATATGGCTATTTGCATGTTTTATGGTAAAAACTTGAAAAAATAGAAAGAACTATTCCATATTCCAAAGAAATTCCTAACTTTTTACATGAAAATATATTCTGCAAAATATTGGATAAAACTTTCAGAATAGGCTCTGGTTGAAAGTTCTGGATAAACAGTATCGAGAGGTTCCCACTTGGAGTGGAAAAATCGTCTGCTGTCACTCAGACTCTTTTTCAGTGGAAAGTCTCTGATTGTGACCTTTCCTCAGCTGCTGACTGTTGAGCTTGCTGATGCTTCAGAAGAACTGAGGCGGAGGGGAGCTCTGGAGACAAGGAAGCAGGGAAGGCCCGCGAGTCCTGCGGAGCGCGTTTGCAGGAGCCGTTGATCTCGAGTTGGTGCAGAAAGTGTTTCTCACCAGGGAGCGTACAGAAATTGCTGCACGTTGAAGAACACTGCTAGGAGATTCTTAGAATTACAAGTCTCACATGAGAAAGAGTCTTTAATGGGTTTGTTTATGTACAAGTTTCATTGTGTTTTTGTAAGCTGATAAGTCTAGCCTAGAATGACCTGTTTGCAATTAAAGTGTGTGTGGGGCTGGACGAGAAAGTCCCAGGATGGACGAGAAAGCGGTGTGTACCATCGCACCATCCGGGCTCTCGTCTCGGCTTGCCCACCCGGCTCCCGCTCACCCGCCCTCTGGTTTTGATTTGCAGTATCACCCGGACAAGCAGAGCACAGCCGCGCTGGAGGAGCTGGAGGAGCGACGGCAGAGGTTCCTCGAGGTGGGTCAGGCCTGGAAGGTTCTGGGGAACGAACAGTCGAGGAAAGAGTACGACCTGCAGCGGCATGGTAGGTGTGTGGGCCCGGATGTTACCGGCCTCTCGGCCACGGGCTTGGGAGGCGGCGGGCTGGGCTGCGGCCCGTGGGGGCTAAAGGAGGCGCTGGCAGCGAGCTCTCAGCGGCCGTGCAGCTCCTTCCCATGGCTGAGGATGTGTAGTCTGCCCCATTTCCAGCCCTTCTGGAAGCCGCGATGCAGAGCACCGGCCTCTCTAGCGAAGGAAGGGCGCTCCCCGCCTGGCTGCCACCCCTGGCACCCGGGGCCGCTCCTGCCCAGTGCCCAGGGTGGTCCTGTCGCTGCGCTGCTCAGGCGTCTGAACAGAGCTCCCGACCACAGTGACAAGCTGTTCTGAGGAAGCCGGGAGGAATGTAGGTCAGGTTTGTCAGCGGGCTGGGGCCACACGATGTGATAGGCTGTTTTTCAGCGCTGTCCTTGGGACGGGAATCCCTGGCCTTGTGTGGGGCCCTGTGCCGTGAGTCTCATGCTGATGGGCAGTCAGTCTCCGCAGGGAGGGGCGGCCCTGTCGCTGAGGAGGTGACCCCTGCAGCCTACATGGGGGCCGTCCAGCCTGCTGCCCAGTCCATTCGCTGATCGGAAGCTCCTGCTGCGAAGTTAGGGCCACTGATTGGAGTGGTGAAGCTTCAGGTTGCGCGCAGCATCGCAGGATAGCACTAGGTCTGTGTGGAGAACACCCTGCACACTCTCAGAGGAAGAGGTGCATACCTTGCTGCTTTTCCCGTAATACCTTTGTGTGAAAAGATGCAGGAAGTGCTTCATGTGCTGGAGTATTTGATGTTAATAGTGATTCATTCATAGCACCAGTCAGCTTAAGGGTCTTTTACTTTGGGAAAGGCTGATGATGTTTTTAAATAAATTTGAAGACCCTACTAAGTGTCCCTTTTCAGGTGTTCACGTTGATTTTCAAGTATGGCTTGCATAGGGCCTTCTGCTTGGTGTTTGTTCCTCTGGGAAGAGAATGTAGAGATGCTTTTCTTGGTGGACATGCTCTATTATAGATACATCCTTTAAACTGGGTTCACAAAAAATAAAAATAAGCTGGGTTCCCAGGATGCAGCTTCCCTGAGAGTGTCGACCCAAATGCCCAGGGGGCACTGTGAGAGTGAACCCGTAGAGCTCCGTGCATGGAGGCGATGGTGCTCCTGTGCATTTGCACAGTGCCAGTCACTAGCTGGCTGTGGGTCATCTCCAGAGGTGCTGTCTGCACCTGAGGGGGCAGGGCGTGTGTTCCCACAGTCCGGCTGTGTTTCTGCCACTCCACGGCCTGTGTGCGTGAAGACCGAGTCAGTGACTCTCACGAGACGTGGGAGTGTGCTGTCCAAAAAAGAGCAGCAGGGAGTGATCGCAGATCATAGATGTTCCTTCTCAATGAGGTGATACGTGGAGTGGACCCGTAATGAACAGACCTAGGAATCTGGCCTTCATCTGAGCAAAGACTCCAGGAAGGCAGGGTTAAGAGATACTAGAAATCCAAGTACTATAGTTAACATATGCAAAAAAGGGCTTGGGGTTGAGTTAACTGAGCTTTGAGTGCTTAGCTTTAAGCTTTTTCCTCCTCTTCTGAGGACTGGATCCAGACCTGATTTATATCCCCAACATTTTTTAGGCTGTATTTTGAGACAGGGTCTCACTATGTTGCCCAGGCTGGCCTCCTGCTTCAGCCTCCCAATTAGTAGCTGGGATTGCAGGCATGCATCACAGGGTGTTGATGGGATCGCAGTGAAGTCCAGCCGAGCCATAGGCAGTGAGAGGTGGTTCAGGAGATGCTTCACGATGTGGGTAAACAGCCTGGACTACCATACTAGCTGTTTGCTTTGCAGGTGTTTTCAAGTGGGTTGGTACTGAATTGAGTCGTTCTAAAATGAAAGGCCCTGAAAGTACAGCTCTTCACGATGTTTCAGTGCCTTCTGTCTGAGTTTAAACATGTCCTGCCTCCTTGAGGCCCAGAGTGATGAGAGTTCTCTTGGCATTCTAAGTGGAGATTGGCCTTCCCAAAATAGAACAGCAGGGCTGAGGTCTTCCACACCAGAGCTGCTTTCAGAGCTCTCCTCATCAACCTCCGTCACATTGTTCTTTTGAATACTGATACTGATTTTATTTTGTGACTCATTTTAAATAAACGGCTCCTCAAAAAAGAAGTGAACTTGAGCTTACAGCAGTGAGGGTGTAGAGCTGAGAGCAGGCGGAGCTCTGAGAGTGGTGGTTTGTTACGAAGCAGGCAAGGCTGCAGAGAGAGAATTGCCGTAACCAGGTCAGAGCACTCTTTCTGGGTCGCCCGGGATATGGACCTTGTTACAGGGAGCTGTGTCTGTGTGTGGTGACAGCTCCTCGGGAAACTACCTTTTCATGGGGTGTGCTTCAGGTGTCTTTGCTCCCTGGCTGCCGGGAACTTGCCATCTAAAATAAAATCGAGCTCTCTTATACTGGGAAGAAGGCAGGCAACGCTTTACTGGCGGCTCTTGAACCCTTTCTCGTATTTCACGGCTCATGTTGGAGCCCTGCTCCGAGGAAAGCCTCACAGTATTGCCCCTCGCTATGGAATTATCCAGAAGAGAATTGAAAGGAGTGCTTGACGTCTGTATTCCTTTGCTTCTCAAAAGAAATATTCAAATGGGTTATTTCTAACAGGACATAATAGTCTGGGCTAGATCACCTTAGGTAAAATACATATTTTTTTCTCTCTCGGCAGTGCTAGCCAGGCTAGAGAAAAGCAGCTGTAAGAGGAGGATGCGTAATACCAGTTCCCAGAGAGCATGATTTTGAAGGTGGTGCTGACTAGTGGATCAAATCAGTTAGCTCTGTTGGCACACTGACCTTACTGTTTCTAAGGCTGCGGCCAGGGTGCCCGAAAAACACATAGCTATGCAGGGTAGGCTCTGCACTTTCGTGGAGGAGTGCTGCGGAAACCTGTGGGGCTTAGCGCATGTTCACGTGCACAGCGTCCGTGGGGTGGCTTGTGCCTCTGTGAACCTTGCGAGGACTTTCCTCATGTACTGAGCATGTTCCAGCACGTCACAAGTGTGCCATGGAATATACCGGATCGGGAGTCCGTGGCTTGTCGTGTGCGCTCACACAGATCTCCGGACATCTCGGTGGCTCCAACAGCTGACGAGTTACAGCACCTCTGCGACCTCAAGAGGAGCGATCCTTCATGCAGTAACCAGACTGAACTATGAGCAGGAGCGGACTGAGCTCGAAACCCTTGCCAGTGTTGCTGCATGTGGTCCTCCGGGGCGGAGTCACCCTACTGAGGTCGGACTCCCCTTTCTAACGACGACACCACAGCAGCCTTGTCTAGGGCCTTGGACAGGCCCTCGGGAGGGCGTGGCCTTTGCCCACTCCCGCCACCCCTGTGGTGCATTGTAGAAGCCACCGCACCTGTATTGGGGTGCGTATCTGACAGCAGAAGACGGGTAATCTCAGGCACCTGAGGACCCACCGCCATTCAGTGTATCATTGCTTAAGCTCATAATTAGGATTCTCCCTGAAAAGAGTCTTAAAGACCAATTACTCCAGAAGGGCAAATAATCTACTTTGAAATGTAGATAATATGGATAAGAGTGGTGACTTTAGGTGAGGTGACAATTACGTAAATTATGTCCTAAAACTGACCCTTGAAAACACTTGAATTAGTTAGATTAGGGTTTCCTTTTATGGTCATATTAGTATTTCCATTTGATTTTTAGGAATTTCAAAATTGGCTGTAAAAATTCGCTTGAGGTAAAAACTTGAAGATAAGCATCAGGGGGTCTGTTTTTTTTTTTTGGTGACTGTTTTCTGGGGAAGGCAAGTATGTGAAATGATGCAGAAAATCCATGTCGACAGTTGGGGACTGGCGTCATGAGAGGGAGAAGAAAGTACACAGAGAAAACTTTCCGTGAGCTGCCCCGCCCCGCCTTATTTGTCAGAAGGCGATGCTGCTGGCATTACTTTACTTTGACTACTTATATGCCGATAACTTTTTGTATGACAGGTCATTTTTCATTAATTTTGAATAGAGATTTGGCTTGTTTCGGACACCTGTGGCAAGATGCAGTGTACACGGACAGAGTCCTGGGTGTCGCTCAGTAATGGAGCCAGCCTGTAGGGTCCCAGGACCGGGGCTGTTTGCGCCGTCCCCTCTTTCCCAGTGTCTGCTGGTCGCTTGACCCATTTGAAATCAGAGGGTGCAGAACAAGAACGGGTCCCTCTTCTCCCTCAGCCTTGAAACCTGGGGTTCCCAGGTGGTGCTGGCCCCTTCTGCTTGGTTCGGTCGCCGCAGCCGGCCGGCCGCGCTCGCTGAGGAGTGCTCCTTGCTGGCTTCTGTGCGCCCCTCTCCGTGGCTGCTCTGCGGAGGGTCTCCCTGCCCGCACTGCCCCGGGGAGAGCAGCTTTAGCGTTGTCCCCGTGCAGACCTAAAGTGATCCTCGGCACTGCCCAGACACCGTCCCGTCCCGCCTCTCGCCGGCACATCCTGTTCTCCGCCTGCCCCTTGCCGGCCTTCGCTTCTGATCTGACCCGCGGGGTTCATTATTGTGCACTTGCTGTGATTCCTGCCTTTGGGTTCTGTGTTTGATATGTAAGAGTGGCTGGAAAATTATATAGACTGTGACTTGGATAGTAACAGGTCAGTTTTAATGAGCCCAACAGTGGCAGAGAGCATCAGACTTCATAACACGGTTGCAGGTCCAGGCAGGGCCGAGGGCCGTTGCCCCTGTTCTGCGGAACTTGAGGCCTCCCTGTCCCAGTGACAGCGAGCGTGGACTGCTCCCTGACCCCTGCGCAGTGCAGGGCGCCGGCCAGCAGGCAGCGGAGGTAGTCGGATCCGCACGGCCGCCCGTGCGCTCTCCCACTGCCCTGTGAGGGCGACACTGGCGTGTGCTGCCCAGAGAGCGAGAGGCTCTGAGCAAGGTCCCGTCACTGGGCGCCGAGGCGGACCCAGGCGCACTAGCTGTGCACAGATTTAAATGACTTGATTTTTGGATGGCAGGGTGTGTGTTAGACCGGGAGGACATAGTGTACCTGCAAGGTCCACGGACACGTGTCTTTAAAAGACAAACTTGCGGCATTCACAGTGGCATAAAAACAAGAAACAGTGGAGCAGTTGCTAAATGAGAGCGTTTTGGGGACAGTGGTGCTCACTTGTGACACTGCCACGCATGAACGATGTGGGCGGAGCTGCGGACGGACTTGCTCTTTGGGCCATTGTCTGAGTGAAAGAGACTTTCAATGAGCGAAGTTAAACTCTCGTAGCTTTTTGTTGTTAGTTATTTTGTATTTTAATTTTTAAAAAATTGTAGCTCCAGTTAGAAAAAGTTTCCTGGGATTAGAGCTGTAATTATTTAGACATTAAGTGGAGTTGTTTTAGAAGTTTTACTGTCATTAGGAGGAAGTTGAAAAAGACTGGAATTCCATTGTCCCGTAAGAAGTGAGAAATATTTATTGATTCCCAAATGGAGCTGAAAAAGCCTTTCCTCTTTCAGAAAGTGGTGAATGACCCAGCGAGAGCTCTGGTAAGCTTTACTGAGCCAAGCTGCTAATAGTTATTTAATGTTATTCTTCAGTGCGAAAGAATCTCCCGAGAGTTCCCTTTTAATCTCTTTGAACTGCAGGCTCATAAACCTCTCTGATGAGTCCTGCCAGTATTTTCTTGGATCCCACTGTGGAGACAATGGAGCCCCGGAATTCTTTGCCCTCTTGTTGTCAGACAAATCCAATGGAACACGGGTCACAAGGGCCGACGCTTCTGAGGGTTGAAAGATTCCTTTTCAAGTAGCCACATAAATTATTTGATTTTATCACTATATTCTCAGAGCCTCTCACTGTGATGCACTGCTTTCTCCTGGAAGAGTGGATTCGGTAGCTCTCATGTGCTTGTTTGGCTGTGTGCGCTCTGCACGGCACAGGGTGTAGACAGACTTCCCGCTCCCAGGTGTCTTAGAGAAAGTGGCCCCATCTGCCTCCAGGGAATCCACCTGCAATGCCATTGGGCCGCTATGACCAGGCGGGGCCTTGCTTTCCCAGTGGCTGTGGATTTTCTTTTTTATACATAGTGATTACCGGTCTGTAGCAGAGAGTCCATATTTAAAGACTTGGACCTGGTCCTTTAATTAAATCACTGAGTTTGTTTTCTCAACAGTTTTAGTAGTGTCCTGTTAACTCTGAGGTAAGATGCACATTCTGGACACCTGTTAAAGTGTTCCGTTGGAATGAGCAAAATTATCAAATGTAATCCTATAAAAGGAAAAGAACTTGTCTGTTTTAAAGATGCCACGCCTGATTAGTAGATAATTACCAAAGCTAATTACAGCATTCCTTCAGTGGATAGGAAAAAATTACGTTTTTAATTATAATCACAATGGTAGACAAGCAGTGATCATTGTTTAAAAAGAAAAACCACCAAACACTGATCTGTTTGTGCTCCTTTCCTGTTGGAGGGCTGGGGTGGGGGTAGGCCTGCTGTGCCACCCTGAGACACCTGCCCGTCACAAAGGGTCCCGGCCGTCCCCCGCTGCCCACATTCGGTCAGCTCTTTAAGGCCGCCCTGCTCAGTGTGCCGTTCTCCAGGTCCAGCTTCCCCTGGGCTAATCACTGCCACTGGGTTTTAGAAGAGGCTAGAGTACCATCCTTCAGAGAATACTTGTTTTCCTACGGGAGCTTTCTGTAACTTTTCTTATTTCTATTTAAAGACGTAGTCATTAGTCTTAGTCCTCACTTTAAAGCTTTGTGGAAATCAAGCGCACACGTGGAGAAGCGCAGGAACCCAAGGATGCGCGTGGTGGGCACTTGCTCAAGTGTGCACACTCCCTCCTGCCCCAGCACCCTGGGGACTCTCACCTGGCAGAGTTCGTAAGCGCAGCATAGGTTGCTTCTAAATGTCACACACTGATTTGTAAAACTAGAAGCTCGGGCTGTGTGCACTAGGTGTTGAATAATCAGGTATCAATTACAGATGTTCAGATAAACTGCAGAATGCTAATGTTTTAATGTATTCTTTGAACTCTGACCTTTGGCAAGGTACTGACCACTTTGTGTTCTGGTTTACCGTGATCTGTGGTCTGTGTGCTTTATGCTAATGGTAGCTACTCTAAAGTTGTTGTGCATCCAGTTAGAGAAATAAGATAATAAAATAGAAAAGCCACTTTCTGAGTGGCTGGAACACTGGAGGAGGTTGCACAGGAGCAAAACACTAACTGTGAAGAATCCCCGTCAGTTCGCAGTAGAGCAGGAGGATGATTTGCAGGGCACTTGTATTTGTTTTTGTTTTTTTGGCAGTTGTGTTTGTAAGTGGCCTCTCTCTTAGTGTTTGGAAATAAACATGGCATAGTGAGCGCCTGAGTGGGCTGTCTCCATGCAGTTCTGTACTGCAAGTGTCCAGGACCGTCAGGGTGAGAGCTGACTTCTCTTGTCACTGTCACTGCGTGCTCTGCTTTGCTTTAACGGGCTTCACTGTTGGCAGAGATGTCCAAGATGCGTACCCTGGAAGAGGCAGCTTGGTTGTGAATTAGTGAGTCCTGTTTTTTTGTCTGTTTGTTTTACCCTAAGTGGACTTTTGTAAGCGTCAGTGGCCCCTTCAGATCTACATGAGCATCTCATTTCCCCATTCTAGCCAACCACCTCAGGCCTTGTAAGAAGTGACAACGTGTGCTTGCTGTAGCATGGCAGTGAGGTGGCTCTGTTCAGGAATGCCCAAGCATGCTGATGCCTGAAGCTGCTGCACAGACCCTCCATTGTCACACCCAGGCCACTGCACAGGTCCAGTCCGTGTCTTTGGATCTGGGGGACAGTTGAAGGGACTGCTGGTATGCAGTAAATACGAAGTCGTATAATATTGGCAGTACCTTAATAGCATACCATGGTGAGTTCAAAATATTGTATAATCTTCACATCTATTTTAAAATTATGTAACTCACCAATAAATGTTGAACAGGCAGTTATTAAATATAATTAAATTGCAGGCATTCACACAAGGGAACAAAGGGAGGCATTCTCAGGAAGTGAACAAGAGACTAGCGAGACAGCTCAAGAAAATTCCACCAGAGTAGAGGCGGGATTTTAATAGCTTTTATTTTTAAGCCTTGAGTTCTAGAACAATACAAGCATCTAGAAAACAGACCATGCCTTTAAAAACAGTGACAACTGCTTCCCAGCCAGAGTGGCTTTCTCCGTCCCAAGACACAGTTGTCTAAAGCAGGAGGTACACGCTTCTCCTGCCCGGGCCACAGCGGACTGTAGTTAGTTGGATGCCAGGCGCCTTTGGAACTGCCGTGTCAGGGAAGACTCTCCCTCACAAATGCTCCGGCATCGGCACACTGCTGTTGTGGTGTAGGCTTGCAGCACTAACTTCTCCCTGGAAGTGACCTAGACCTTGTGACAGTTAGGTCCCCAGCAGCCCTTTCCATGGGGCAGTGCCAGCTCTTCCCAGCAGCTGGCCACTGGCATGCCCACCTGCCTCTCCTCCACAGGCTGGACCTGCACAAAAACCTTTCTCTATTTAGAAGGCCACCAGTCCCATCGTTAGGACCCAGTGCTATGACATCCTTTCCAGCCTTCCTAACAGTTCGTCTCCAAGCAGCGCCTGGGGCCAGCACATCAGTGCTGGAACTTTGGGTCACAGCCTTCCGCTCCTGAAGTAAATAAGGAGGAGGTGACTCCTGTCTCTTCCTCAGCTTCAGATGGCTGTTGTGACCCAGCGCCACACTGCCCTCCTTGTGAGACGTAATTTATCTGACATCTCTCTAGTGTCCCACAAAGTAGAAGTTACTGGCAGATTACAAAAAATCACCCAACGGGACAGACTTTGACTGTTCTAGACTTTTTAACCTTTACACTCCTGTCAGGATCACCATGCTGGCGCGGCCCCCTCTGGCCCTTCATGGCGAAGTATCAAAATTACGCATCTTGCTTTCTGTTTTACAGAAGATGAGCTCAGAAGTATGGGACCAGTACATGCACAAGTGTATCTTGAAGAAATGTCTTGGAATGAAGGTTGGATTTTGTTTTTCTTTTGGTCTTATTTACAGTGTAGACAAATGTTAGAGATTTTTTAAAGAGAGGATTAAAAAACCTCACAGAATGTTGGGAAATCTTGAAAAGGTAGTAGTAAATGGCTTTCCATACATAAAAGCTTTTGTTTCATTTGTTTTTGTTTAATTCTAAACTGCATTTATTGATGACCCCTCTGTATGACTCATTTCAAGTATTTTCTGTTCTAATTTTTTTTCTCCATTTGTTTGTACTACCTTTGATTTTGTATTTCTCTCTGTAATATGGTAAAGTCAAAGATAATGATTTTTTCCACTTATTTCTCTTCGTGTGCTGACTCTTGAGATGAATGCATAGTCGTATTTTGGTTGATTTTCTTTTTATGTGAATCATAAACCGGGGCTTTTAATGTTACGGTCTTCTGCTGGGAAGCTTGATTTTTTTTTTTTTTTCCTCTTGTCTCTCTCCCTTTTTGATGATCTCTTAGGTAAAGGAAAGTCCCTTTATCATGAAGTCATGCTGTTTTCCCTTTTAAAGCTTTATTGAATCAGATTTAATTTTCACATTCCTCTGGTGTGCTCTAAGTTGCTCTGGGTTGACACTGCTGAATTAGGAAAACACCTTTCTAAATGGAAGCCATGGGTAGGTTGCTTCCTTGCTTCTCTGGTCAAAGGAAGAAAATCAAGGAAATCTATTTTGCAGAAGTTTTGTATACTCTTAACTCTGACTTTGTTATTCATCCTAAAGGCTTATAAATATTTTTAATGATTATGGATGGCAGAAGGTACACAGAGCTATCCTTCTGAAACTGTTTACTTTTCTAATGGTAAATTCTTAACGTAGTTCTTTTAAAAAGTGGGTTACAAGCCACTTAGAAGGCAAATTGTGTTTTTCCTTACAGGGTCATTCTGCCCTCAACCACTCCAGTGGCATCCTAGAGTAGGAATTCTTGTTGCCAGTTGCATAATTGGAAACCTTGAGGATTTGTATGACCAGGGTTCCCAGTGGGGACGGTCGCCTCAGAGTCAGCAGGAGGAGCCCTGCCGGGGGGCCGACCAGAGGCAATGGGCTCGCACGGCTGACTGTGAAGGGACAGGAGAACGGGCCATTCCCAACAGAGTGGATTGCTTTCGATCCATTTTTGAAGTTAATTAATTAACAATACAATTTAAAATTTTTATTTAAGCATCTGTTCAGTCAGTAAACACACAGACTGTCTGATCTGAGTGAAAACACCAGCGTGCAGGAAACGTGCAGCAGGAAACATCCAGGTTTTCCGAAGCAGGGCTTTGTCCCTGGGCTCCCTGGGCCTCACCTCACGGTGGAGAGTGGAGGAGTCCGGGTCACAGCTGGCCAACAGCTCATTCCAACAGTGTGGAACATCTTTGATGCTTATTTAAATGAAGGGCTTTTATGATCGTAAAAGATGGAAATATCCTCGTCTTCAGAGAAAAAACCGAGCAACAGTTCTCGAAGCCATTATTCTTGCAGAAATGTTTAGAAACAAGTCTTCTAAGACTAAACGTTCGCAGTTGGAAAGAGCGAGCGCAGCATATGCAGTGAGATACCAAGCGGACAGATGGAACAGTGTATCCATCCCTTGGGGTTGTTTGCAGATGACTGGCAGGAGAGGCGGCGTCCAGAGGGGTGCGGCCGGGCTGCGCATGCGCAGAGGCCCCGGGGAGCAGCTTGTGCGGTTACACGAGGTTTCAGGACCTCGTGTTTACACGGACCGTTTTTTATGAAAATACCACTTTGTTAAGAGCTGGATGGCAGTAATGTAAGAAGAAATTTCCACAAGATGTGAATGCATAGTGAGCACTAACGTGGAATTCTGAGTGACAAAATCCACAGTAACCCGTGTGTGTATCATTTACTAAGTACATGTCACCTCGGATTTCTTCTCAGTGTTCACTGAAGTGGTAAGACGACAAGAGGGAGAGAGTTAACCTAAGAAAATCAGTGGTTAGAATATGTATTTTTAGACAATTTAACAGTAAAACAGTTCTTTGAAAATGTGCTAGCATGTGTGTTGGCCTAGACAGGAAGAGGTTTGTTTGCATTTCTATATTCAAGGTTATTCTTCTTTACGGAGAATACAAAGCAGGATTGGTTGACTGGATTCATTGTTTTCTTTGATGAAAGAAGCAGGTACACTTGGCTTACTTCAGTGCTCGCTTTTTCAAGACCGAAGTTGATAGGAAGTAAGTGGGAGGCAGGTGGACTCCCCCTTCGCATCTCTGTGAGATGGAAAGGTTAATCAGGGTTAGGGATCACAGGAAGGTATCTGACTGTAAGAAGTCCTGAGCCCTCTGACACTTACTTTGTTTCTGTGTAATAAAAAATGCTGATAGTAGTGACAGAGATGCTGTGATCATAAGTAGTGCAGTAGTTTCTGACACTTAACTTCCCAGAGAGAGTAAAACAGAAGGCTAGAGGGACAAGTTTCTTTCTGTCAAAGCGCACTAGCGTCGAGCCTTCCCAGGGAGAGGTCAGACTGTACGTGGCCCCCTTTGCCTCCTTCGGATGTCTCGTGCCGCGGGTTTTCCTGGTGGTGTCTCCACCCTTCGTAAACACCCGGCGGACGGATGCACAAATGCAAACCACGGGGTTCTTGGAGTCACGGGACCCCGCTGGAAAGCAGATGCTCAGCTCCATCTCAGTCGGGGTGCAGCTCCTGAAAGGACAGGATCTAGGCCCAACGTCATGCACCTTTCAAGTGAGATCACTTTCCTTCACTGTAGGATTTTACCCAAACACACTGGTGAGAAGAATGTAAATTTTACAGAAGTCTTAAGACAGAAAACTTCAAGTAAATTTTATCAGTTGCTTCTGAGGGCCCGCCCGCAACTCCTTGGTCCATCTCCTGTGCATGTAGATTCTTCTGTAGATCAGAATCTGTAGAAATATTGCCCCTACACAAGAAATGTCTCCCATTTCTCCTTTATTGAGCTCCTTTTGTCTTGCAGTTTCTGTGGAATCAACTGCAGTTTTGAGGGTGTGAACGAAGTAGTTGCTTGTAGGCATTTGAGGCGTTCTTTTGTTCTCTTCGCAGGTGATCGTTCCTTCTCTCTGAGCTGCCGATGTGGTGGCAGGTACAGCGTTGGTGAGCAGGAGGCGGCAGCCATAGGCCTGGTTCCCTGTGACACGTGCTCGCTGATGGTGGAGCTCCTTCACGACAGCTGAGCTGTGCGGTGGCTGAGGTTGCCCCGTGCCCGCCCAGCCCCACCAGAAGCCGAGCGGGCTTCCAGAGAAGGGTTGCTGTCAGCCCACCAGGAGCCACCGGGGAGTAACAGAAAATGAACTTCTTCATTTAGGTGCACTTAGAATTCATGTTTACAGACTGCCAAAGAAAAGACTTCAACTTTTGTTTACTCCTTGGAAAATAAGAATTTTCTTATTTGAAATGAGCTTTTCTCCTGTTCTTTCGGCTACAGTGCTGTGGATTCCTTCACAGAGACTTGGGTTCTGATCTGAGACCTTCCAGCTGCTGCGGGCACAGGCCGGAGCGCCTCTCCGCCGGTCGGAAGCCCGGAGGAGCACGCAGAATGGCCCTCCGGGGAGGAGGGCTGGTGGGGCAGTGGGACAGTGCCTGGGGTGGGTAGGGAAGGGGAGGCAGTAGCTGGAGAAGCGCACTGTGGCCCCACAGCTGTGATCACTGCCATCTTCAAGTGCAGTGCAGGGAACGGAAGCTCAAAGAGAGCTTGATACAGCTGCTTCCCTTTCCTTATTGCAGCATCTTGAGATCAGACCCTCCCTGCCTTGTTAGTGAGTCACTGCTGGGATCATGGAATGGAGTTTAACCGGCTAGTGTCGTGGACTAGAGCATACTACATAGTGTTCCCTTACTTCTGTGTACAGTGCTGTCTTGCTTGTTGAATGGCTCCAAAGCTCAGACTGTCCACCATTTGAACAGCAAAATTTGCAAAAAATTGTGCATGGTGTTCATAACTTTGCTTGATAGTTGAGTTGAAAATTCAGCTTGAAAAAACTTGTGCAGGCCAAGTGAGGTATATGTTGCATCTCACCTTGCGTGGACCCAAAGGGGCAGAGCTTCAGTCTATAAACTCCAGTTTGGCCCAGACAACATACAGAGTTTTGTTAGTGGGCTAAAACACTCATCACTGCTGTTTTGAGGGGCTTTATTTGCATAAAATAACATAACCATGGTCCCAAAGAAAGTAATTGCAGTAAAGCTAAGAAGAAAACTGGAAAACACGATAGAGTTAAAGAAAACATTGTGAAATTTGAATCAGGTCGCTGCTTGTCTGACGTGCCGGCTGAATACAACATGGCTAAGTCGACATTATCAACACTTCTGAAAAAAATGTGATTGAAGAGGCTAATGTAGTGAAAGGTGTGAAATCGTTAACCACGTAACAACCCAGATTGGGCAAGAGGTTGGGAAGTTACTGTTAGTTGGGTAGATGAGAAACAACTGGGTGGCAGTAGTGTATACGAGACAGTGATACTCCAGAAGGCCAGACGCCTCCACAGTGATTAGCTGAAAACGCTCCTGGAGCAAGTGCTGAGCGACCTGAAGTGTTCAAAGCCAGCCATGGCTGGTCTGAAATATTCAAAAAGAGAACAGGCACACGCTGTATAGTGAGGCATGGGGAAGGGATGAATGCAAAGAAAGACAAAGCCAGTAAATTTGCAGCTCGATTTGCTGAATACATGGAGGCTGAGGGTTTTGTTCCCCAGCAAGTGTTCAACTGTGACAAAGCCAGACTTTGGGGGAAGGATATGCCCCATAGCACCTTCATTACTAAAGAGGAAAAGGCATTTTGAGGCCATAAGCCTATGAAAGGTGGACCTGCTCTAGTACTGTGTGGGAATGATAGTGGAGATTTTAAAGTGAAGCCTATGTTAGTGCACCATTCTGAAAACCCCTGTGTTTACTAGGTTACGACAGCTCATCCCATACTTTGCTACTGAAAATTTATACTTTAGCATAACAGTAGCTGGCTATGTGACTCAGCAGCTCCTGAGGGATATAGGAAGCAATTTTGTGTTTACTGACTTGGTATGACTAACAGCAAGGTGTGTGCAGAAGTAGCAAAGTAGGATTTTTATCCACATAATGTTCTAACAAGGTTTTGCATGTTTATCTGAGCATCATGGGGTAAAATACACCCACACCACTCTTCTGCTGTGTAAATGGAATGTGGGTGTGCTCACAGTAGCTTTGCCTGGAAAAGCAAAAACCCGTCTGCATTTACCCACTTGGCAGATGAATGGCAAAGCATGTACAGGAGAGCCAAAGCAGCAACAGGCGAGTTTTTCCATGAAATGCTCATTGCTAAATTTCTGTGCATTTAGGATTTGTTTTAAAGAAGGTTTTCTTTTGATTTTTCTCATATAAGTAGCTCAGTTCAGTACAATGGCACATGAAAAACCAGATGTGCAAGTTTTGAGACGTTCAAAATGAATCATCAGATTACTCATGCATGAATGATGATAATGACTCTGATGTTCGTCATATGAGCCAAAGTTCTCGTGATAGTGAAGTGGAGCAAGAATCTATGGATACAGGGCTGGGAGTATAGCTCAGTGGAATTGCGCCTGCCTGGCAAGCTTGAGGTCCTGTTAGATTCCTAGTACCAAAAAAAAAAAACAAAAACCTGTGGATACAGACACAGGGAATGCAGACCTTGACTCAGATGATGAAAAAACTGTGAGTACATATTTGACTAGTAGAAATGGTCACACGACCAAATGGAATAACCCAGTGTTAGAACTAGGTCCGAAAATACAGTGAGGATCTTCGCAGGGGTGAAACCCATTGGACAGACTGCCAACACTGCCATTTAGTGTTGCAAATTATAACCGATGAAATGATACAAGATGTTATGAAATACACAAATGCTGAAATACAAGTAAAACACCCTGTATGCACCAATGTATTTATGATGACACCTCACTAGCTGAACTGAAAGCATTCACAGGTCTGTAAAAGACTTGTGGAAAAGCAGTGGGTTGTCTGAGGTTTGTAGAGTAACAGTGACACTGAGATTTAGTTTCCTTCAAAATTGCCTGAGTTTTGATGACAAAACCACCTGCTAAGAAAGAAAAAACTGATAACCTGGCTGCTATCTGCTTATGGTTTGAGAGAGGTGGATCGTTGCCAAGCATATATACCATCTGAATACATGACTGTCGAATATATGGCATAAAAATGTATGCCTATGTAGATGCAGACTTACTATGCTTTCAATTTAGACATTTATCCTGAAACTCAGCAACTAGGTCCTTGTTCATATAGTAATAAACCAAATGATGTTCTGAACAGACTTGTGGCTCCCATCTTCCAAACTAATCGGGATGTGACATTCAACAATTGGTTTCCTGGTTTCCAATTGATGTTAACAGCACAAGCAGAACAGCACATGAACTGTACCCAGGAACAAAGCAGAAATTCCAAATGTTGCAATTTCAAAACAGAATTGTATAGTACGATCTTCGGATTTCAGAAATATGTAAAATTGGCTTCCTATATGGCAAAGACAAAAACTGGTAACTGCCGATGTCAACATTGCACCAGGATGGAAATACTGATAGGGAAACCTCAACAAAATGGAAATCTAAATGGTAACTTTCTACAACAAAACCGAAGGCAGAGGTGTTGGTAAGGAGTCACGCAGCAATTATGATGTCACTCAAAACACACAGCACTGGCCAATGATTGTGTTTTACTTGGTCCTAAATGTGTGGCATAAATAGTTTGGTAGTTTGTAAAGAAAATAACAAGTGCAAGATATCACCGAGAAATTGTTTTAGAAGATTGGGACTGGAGCTCATGAAAGATTATTTACAGCAGAGGAAAAAAAGAATGTTTCTGTCCAGGGAACTACGCAAAAAAACTGTGGCGCGCACTGGTGAGCCAACAGATGAAGAGGCAAGCGCAGCATCACAGAGACCTAGTACAACAGGAAAACCAAAACGATGTCAGTGGTGCCCCACAGGGAGGACAGGAAAACACAGTGTGCTATCAGTGCGACACTTGTATATGGAACACGGTTCTCACATGTGAAGACAGCCTTGGATGTGACAGTTGAAGCAAAGATTATTTTTGTAGTAAACTTCAGTTTGTATTTACGTTGTAGTTCACATAGGTTTTTATTTCTAATGTTACATTTTAGGTTTTGTAAGCAAGTACACAGCTGATGTGAAAATATTTATTCTAAATGCAATACATGTGAAGAATTTAATACTTTTATTGGTATTTTATGTTCCTATTAACTGCACTGTATAATATGATAAGAACCTCCTGACAAAACAGCAAGACCACTGAGATGTCAAGTATGTCTTACAAAAAGGAAAGCAAGCCATGTGCTGTCAGTGAAAGCAGTATGTGTGTACGGAGCATGCTGCTGGCATGTGTGAGGACTGCCTTAGGTGTGATACTTGAAAATTTTTTGGGTAGAATTCTATTGGTATTTTCATAGTGCTTCATGTAGGAATTTATTTCTGTTCTTTTTAGACTTAGTACATCAAAAAAGTTGATGTTGAAAATTTTGATGCTTTTTATAAACAATAAATATTAAAAATTCAGTACCTCCTGTTAAGTGCTTATTGTTTAATACAGTAAAATTAACAAAATTATAATTACTAATTCATGAATAAAGTATTCATGGGTATTCACGTTTATCAATGCACCTTTATGACAAAATTGGTGTGCGCCCCGTGGGCTACACAACAAAACATAATGAGAAGTAAGTTCAGTGTGGGGGGGGTAATTAAGCGTGGGCGGTCAGACCACTTTTCACTGAGTGGGCACATGAAGTGCTTGGACCTAGTGTAAGGAAATACTTGCAGGAGAACAGCTTGCCTGTAAAATCACTCCGCCCATGAGCAGCGCTCCTGCTCATCCTCCAGGCGTGCAGGGCGAGTCAGCCGGTAAATGCTCCCTGATCACTGTTAAGTTCTTGCCCCTGAACATGACTTCTCTCATCCTCCATGGACCAGCAAGTCATTGCTAATTTCACAGCACTACTCCAAAGCACCATCCAGCGGCTCTGAAATACCCGCGGGCACCAGCAGGCCCTCCCAGAGGTCTGGTGGAGTCCTGCACTCCTCGCGGCAGTACCCTCTGCACGTGGCCTGGCGCAAGTTGTGGCCTGGAGCTGGGCGGAGACTGGAGGCTCCCAGGAGGAGCCGGCTGGCTGCGGTGTGGAGTTGGTGACAACTCAGGAGTCCCAGGGCGTCTGAGGAAAGCGCCTGGGGAAAGGCGCACGCAGCCGGCTCCTTCACACTGGAGGGGCTGCTGCATGGAGGGGAGCACAGCCCCGGTAAGGCGATACACAACTGTGGCCTGGCAGATGACCATGCTGCCTCTGACAGCTGTTGCTGAACCCTTTTTCAGTGAGAAAAGGTGAAAAAGACGAAGAGACATGCCCCAGGAAGTGCATGTTCCAGTCGCTCCGGAAGGCGCTTGCCCCCGGAAATGACGTTTCTCTGCCTCTCCCGACTCCACTCCAGCTTCCGGTGCCAGGAAGCCTGCAAGTAAAGGAAAGCACCTGGACAGACTTTTAAAATTTTATTCATTGTGTTTTGATAGTGTACTACGTTTACTATGCTTAGATGCTTTAGGGGAATTCCCACATCTAGGGCTAACTTGTTTTTAAGTCCTGGAAAAATGAATTTGTAAGTGTAGTTTCAGGGCCTCAGAACCAATTTTTTGGCTTTTCATTATTTCTCATGGGAAAAAACGTTTTCAGTTCTTGAACTCTGCGGTGTCCAGACACGCATCTGGGGCGCATTGAGTTTCACAACAGAGGCATCACTGTACCTCACATTCTGTATACACAGTTGTTATGGTTGATACAATGTGTCAACTTGGGGAGTCTAGAGGTTTGGCTAAGTGACTCAGCAGTTCTACATCTGGGGGTGAAAAGGACATGCCCTGACTCTTCTGGGATGTTGTTCATTGTGTCAATTTAGAAAGTTTAAAAGGTTAAGTATGTGACTCAGCAGGGAGGCAGGGTGCTTACTTTATATTCATCCTGAGCCTGTGCAAAGAGGAGGGCATGGAGATTATGTGAGTGCTACACGCCCCCATGGCCATTGTTGGGGGCTTTTAGCCAGATTTATGTTAAAAATCAAGAGCAAAGAGCCCAACAAGATAATTTAAAATGTTATGTTTGGCCAGAAAACCGACAAAAACCTGCAATAAAGCTGTGGGCTGCAAAGATAAGGCTAAGGAGATCTCCACTACTTTAAAAAAAAAAAGCAAAGAGACGGCCTGAGTGCATAAAAAAAAGCAGCAAGTCTCCACCTTTCACAGCCTCAAAAGTGCAAAGGTGAAAGATCTTGCCTTAAAAAAAAACGCAGAGTGCCATGTTCCAAAATGGCGGCAGAGGCTGCACCAGGTTCCAAAATGGCGGCAGCATAAAAAATGGCTCCTCAAAATTAGACAGAGTGCCCAGTGATCCAGGCACTCGACCCCTATGGCCAAGAGAGGGGAAAGTTTGGCTACTGCTCCAGGTGGCAGCAAACCTTGGCATCATCCACGTGACACTGGTTTTCAATACATACAAAATACAAGAGTTCTGAGGTTAAAAAGACTTCCATCTTGATTTCAAAAGGCCTGAGAGGCCAGAGTCTGTCCCTAAGAGAGCAGTATAGAAAGCTATAAATATGAAACAAAAGGTTCAATAGAGACCTCAAAAGTTTAAAAAAGCCAAAAAGTAGAGTGTCTAAAAAAAGCTACCAAGAGAGAGCAAAGTGGGCCCCTCAAAAAGCCATGAGAGCTATAACCACTAAAAGTGCCATAAAAATAAGACTCATATAAGCCCTTTAGAGCTCACAATGTGCCACAAATTACTTCAAATACTAAACATAAAACTACAAGACATAATGTTAGCCCTACTAAATTTTAAACTTGCTTTAGTCCCAATACTTTATATCCCCATTTAAACTTTTAAAAATAATGTTTATTTTATACCATTAAATGTTAAAAACATTTAGCTTTTCATTTATACAAAGGCTTACAACTAAAAATTTACCTTACATCTTAAAAAAAATACTTAAACTTTTAAACAATACTAAAACTATTAAAATTTTAACTCTTACAAATCAAATGCCTTTTACATAAAAAATACATGTCTTTAAAAAACAAAACATTATAGTTCTAATAAAATGTCTTTATATCTAAAAACTGGTTTAAAAACGTGTCTAATTGCCAAGTTAATAAAAAACATTGTTATGGTTGATACACTGCATCAAATTGGCGAGTCTAGAGGTTTGGCTAAGTTGTTTTCTCCACCACCTCCCTTCTGCTCTTGTTACTTTGCTGTTCTACTGCCATAAACTGTTGCCCTCTGCCATGTGCCATTTGCCACCCTAACTTAGAGCCAGCCAAACATAAACTAAAACCTCCAAAGACTCTAAGCTAAATAAACTTTTCCTTCCTTCATTTTGAGTGTTAGATATTTTTATCTCAGTAATAAAAAAGAACTAAGACAACAATGTAAGGCAGAATCTCAAGTCCCTCCCGGGACCCTTGCTCGGTCGCTGGGGCTTTCCTGCTTCTGATGTGCGGGCTGCAGGGAGCTGGGCAGCTCTCACTAGGATCACGCCTGGCGTGGCCCGGCCGAGCTCAGAGTAGTTACACACTGACTGGAAAATGCAGCGGACAAACGGAGCACGTTCAGAATGAGTAGGTTGCCTTTCACTTCAGCTTTATTGGACCTATCACACCAAAATTTCAAAAGTGAGGCAGTCATCCAGGTTTCCTCCCAAAATGTTTATCACTATAAAATTTAGATAACTTACTCTGCCCTACTTTTTTGTCCCGGTATTTTGAACTAACTTGCAGAGTGTGTTGCTTATTTTGTTTAAGAATTTAAAAAACAAAGTAAATATCCAATCGTTTATTGGTAAGGTAAGGTAAGCGCATGGTTCCAGCTTCAGTTGTAAATTCACTGGCCCAGCAGATATTCATCAGGTCAGAGGAATAAATGCTTGTCAGTCATCAGAAAACCGGTGGCCATTGGGGCTGTCACGCAGAAACCCGAAGTCACTCAGAGGCCAGATCTGTAAAACCCATAGGAGGTGGAGACAGTCAGCCAGGTGATGCTGTATCCGCACCACTCCCTTTCCTCCTCGTCCCTTTCCTGTGACAGTACTGCTTCCTCCTCGCGCATCAGCCATGAATACATTTCCGCCACAGTGAGACTCCAGAGAAAAGCTGTTGACGTATACTACTGAGTTCAGACCCAAGTGTGCAAGAGCTTGTGTGCATATGAAGGTGTGGGTGTGGGTGTGTCAAGCGAGTGTGAACTACCCTTCGAACTCAGCTGCTGCAGGTTTAACATGGAAGTCCTCTCACTGCCGCAACTAGCCCTTCTCATCCCCCGTCCTGCTGGCGCCCGAGGCAGCGAAGGTGGCGCCGTCCTCAGCCCTGCGCCCTTCCCTGCACGGCCAGAGCTGCTGCAGATGCTCGTCCACATGTTCCCAGGGCGGTGCTAACAGGTGACAGTGCAAGAGAGACTGCAGACTTGGGGAAACCTGAAAGGAAGTTTGCTCAGGCTACAGCGAAGGAATCGGAACTTTATTATAAAAATCCGTTCTCGGTCACCTCCCTCTGTGAGAGCTAGAGGGTGGCGAGCTATCCAGGCCCGTGAGCGCATGAAGTGCGGGTACTGCAAGCAGAAGCCTCACCAGCCTACACGTCACAGTTCATCGGGGGAAGCTCGGAGAATGAAAGCACCATTTCAAGCAGAAAACTGTACCTTAAAAAAGATGCGTCCTCTTATCAGTCCATAAGGGATGGGTCCATAGCACCTGGAATCTGTGGAGTTCTGTAGGTTGTCACCTTCTAACCAGACGTGGCCCATGGGCACCTACAGGTAGAGGAGAAAGTGACCCCTTTAAAACACTTAACGACTTGGGCACCATCACTAAGAAGCTTGCCATAAAATACATACACATCCTGAGACTGGCGGTTTAGTTTTCACTTCTCACACAATGAAACAACTTACTAAATATGAAGGATTTGAAGTGTTTAAAAGACCCACCCCTTATCATATGGTTCTCAAACCTTTGCTATATAAATCCCAAACTGAGATTGTGAGAGATCAACACAATGTGACAGAATCATTAATTTAATAGACTTCAAAAGAGGTCATGAGGATGCTGACCGGAAACGTGCCCTCCCGTCTCAGCGACGGCGTACGCAGGCAGTCACTGCACGGCCTGGGGCCAGCTCCAAGGCCAGCCCTCTTCGACGCTCATGACGAACTGGATGGTAATTGATCCTGACACCAATTACACACAATCTCGTCACTGTAGAGGGGCCTGTCAGGGTTCTCATTAAGAGCCTGCTCTGCCTTTGTGCGGCCCTATCTTCCTGCATTATACTTTGATAATGACCGTCCAGAATCACAAGGAGCCATTATAAAATTATTAGTTGTAAAATTAATGATGGTGACCTTCCTAAGTGGAGAAGCCCTGTCTCACAGGGCCCATGTGTGAGCTGGTACATACATTTAAATTCTTACTCACTGACCACCATATTTAGGGTACAACGTTACTTTCAAAAAAATGCCCTCTTGCCATAGCAGCCACTTGCTTGCTAGCGTCTGTTCTGGCCACGTAGATTCAAAGATCACTCTCCGGGGACAGTGTAAAAGTGCTCTTCGGAAGCTTTTCATTTGACAGCTTGTTACCCAAGAAAGCTGAGTTACTGATGAGACAAAACTGATCTATTGGGAATGAATTTATTTTTGTTTTGTTCAGTAAGGTTGAATAGGAGACACTGACATTTTCTTTTGTGTGACAAATTACCTTTGTGAAAAATCAATTGATACAAGCATATAAAATTTTAAATTCACTTTAAGAGATTATGATTCTGTAATGTATCATGTAGAAACATTTGCCAAAATCCTCCAAGTTAATTCTTTGCATTTAGATGTACTTAAATGTGAAATTCTATTTTACAGAAAAAGGATGTAGGTTTACTGAAGGAGTATCAGAGCCAGGTGTGGTCCCCAAGTGTAATCCCAACCCTCAGGCAGGCTGAGGCAGGGGTTTCAAGTGCAGCCCCGTCCTGGGCAATTCAGCACCACAGCCAGACCCTGCGTCACAGTGTCAAATAACGTCTGAGGATGTGGCTTAGTGTGAAGGCTCTGAGTCAAGTGCCTGCTACGTAAATAATTCAATATAAAGGGTGGAGGTGAGAAGAGAAGAAGAAATGTATGATAGGATGTGAGATAACTCATTTTTATTAGTGGACTATGTTTTACGTCCGAGGGCCAACAGCAAGGCTAGTTGCTTCCTATATAATGAGACAGACTTTTGTGCAATTAAGTAGAAGTCTGCCCAAGCAGAGAAATGAGTATGCCTCAGGGCATAAAAGAAATCAAAAGACAATACCAAACTCAGAAAAGCCCTGTATAACATATTTGGAAGAAGTTACAAGGTGAAGATTTTGTGCTTGTGTTTCCCGTTTCTCAAAAGGTGCTTGTTCCCGAGTTTTAGAAATAAGCAGTAAGTAAGGAAGAGCAATAAAAGCCAAAGCAAACCATTCTACAGTCCAGTACTGCAGCGTCCTGCCCGTCCAGGGAAGTCTTTGTCCACTCGCTGGCCGCAGACCAGGTCTGGTTGACACTTTCCATCCCCAGCTTCCCCCAAACATGTGCGCCGATGCCAGGTTCTCTTGGGTCAGGTCATTCGCCATCAAAGCTGGCCTTGCGAGCTGCTCCGTTTCTAACGTGCTTTTTCTTGCGTGGCTTTTGCGTCCGTCTTCTTACGTTATGATGGACTAAGGCAGAAGGCAGTAACACCACGGTTTTAACTGTCAATGTGACTGCAAAAAACGGTACTTTGTGTATTTGCTTTTGTCTTATGATGAATGAGGCAAAACCTTGCTTCATGCATTTAGAAAACAAACGTAGTTGGACGTAGTGGTGCAAGTTTGTAATCCCCACTACACCTGAGGCTGAGGCAGGAGAACTGCAAGGTGTAGGCTAGCCTGAGTAATTTACACCCAAAATAAAAATTCATAAATAAGGGCTAGGAATGTAGCTCAGTGGGAGAGCACCTAGCAGGAGGGAAGCCTTGAATTCAGCCCCTAGCAGCACACACACACACACACACACACACACACACTGCACTGAATTCAGTGCTTTTTCTGTGACCTCCCAGTGCCCTCTGAGTTGATCTTTTCCACTCCTCATTTCATAGGTGTTTTTTAAATACTGAGATTAGCTTTTTGAGATAAAGATGACAAATACACATCTGTCACTTCTCTTATCAATCTTGCTTTTATGACTTCTAGATTTTCAGTCATGCAAAACTTCTACTGTTTCATATTTTAACGTTTAATTATTTTATTTGGGGGATGTATCCTCAGAGATGCTCTACGGTTTGGGATATTAACAATTTTTTTTTTCCTCTTTTGTACTGGGGATTGAAATCAGAGCCTTCACACTAAGCTGTATCTCAAGGCATGTCTTCAGACAGGGTCTTGCTAAGTTGCCCAGGTTGGACTTGAACTTGAATCCTCCTGCCTCGGGCTCCGGGACTCTGGGGTCACAGGCAGCTTTTATTAATGCGAGGGCTGGCGGAGTAGCACCGGTAGCATCCCTGCCCGGTACACTCAGAACCATGTCTGAGCCCAGCACCACTGAAGAAAGCAATTGTTCATGTAGCAGGTGATTCAGTGCTCTGATGTTTTCCTCTGCGTTATTCTCTGCACTGGTTTCCAAAGGCATTGCACCTATGCCTGCTTTTGTGCGTATGAGCTTTGGGGTCTCAAGAATTTCCTTATAAACCTGCAAGTGTTCCTTCTATAATACATATTACAAATACTTCCTCCGCCCTAGTTTTGTCTTTTCATATCATGTTCCACAAAGTTTTGATTTTTATAGCTAGGTGTGGCTCAGTGGTAGAGCACTTGCCTAGCATGTATGAGGCCCCAGCACTGCAAAATCAGGAAAAAAGAAAACTTTGTATTTACGTGCACATTCGAGCACTTCTGATGTTTTATTCTGCTGTGACCAAGCATCAGTCCCCTCCCTGTCTTCCGGTCGCAAGACCCTCCTTTCACATTTCTTGCAGGGTAAGTCTGCTGGCAATGCATCTCTCAACATCCTGGCAACATTTACTTTTGTTTGAAAATGTCTTTAATTTTCCACGATTTTCCAAAGATCCTTGCACGGAATACAAATCCCAGACCGACAGTGAGCACCTGGCACCCTGACGCCTCCAGTCTCGTTTCCCTCATTTTCTTACTGTTTAGGACGATGGAGCAGCAGCAGCTCCGTTGACGTGGCGCATGTAATGTCTTTCTCCTCTCGTTGTTCTGAAGTCTTTCTCTTTATCTCTGGCTCTGCAGACCCATTCTGAGGCTCCCCGGTTTGACTTCTTTTGTATTCATTTTACCTGAACTTGCTGGATCTCCGGCTTAGTTTTGATCAAATTGGGAAAAGCAAGAGATCCCTTCTTCTTCTCACTCCCTGCAGCCTCTGTAACATGGATGTTGGTCCGTTTAACACTGTCTTACAAGTTACTGTGGATACTCAGTTTTTTTCTAGACTTTTTCCTTTCCTTCAGTAAAGTTTGTATAAATTTTACTGCTACCCTCACATTTACTGTCTTTTCTTTTGCAGTTTCTAATCCGCTTGGAGGCGTCTAGTGTATTTGCAAGCTGTAGAAGTTCCGTTCGCTCCTGTCTTACGCTTGTGTTCTTCCCTGTTACAGGCTCAGGCACACCTCGCAGCGGTTCTGTGCACTTGCCTTGGTCACCTCGGGTCTGCGTCACTGACAGGCTCCTACTTAAGGCTTGCGCGTCTGTCCCTTCACGCTGAACGTGCCGAGGCCTGGCTGGCGTGGGGAGGCGGTGAAGCTGGCTGTGACTGGCCGCTTCCTTCGCAGCGTGTCTGGAAGCTCTGACGCTGCGGGGTGGGGGTGGGGGTGGGCGGCGGCGGCGGCGGCGGCTCTGCAGACTGCCGTGTCACAGGCCGGGAACTTTCGGACTCAGTTGCCTCGGTCACTTCCCTCGGCTCAGTTTCCCCGTTTGCCGGGAAGCAGGCACCATCTCGCACTCAGCCCCAAAGCCCAGGAAGGAAGACCTCGCTGCAGCTCGCGCGTCCTTGCTGTGCACCCAGCATGCAGCCTCCTCTGTGGCCTGTCTCCTCCGCTCAGCCGCCTCCGTGGGCCACGCCGGCCGCCCTACTTGGGCTGGGGTCTGAACACAGCCGTGGCCATGGCTCGCTTTGCTCCTCCTCCTGCCAGGGACGGCTGGCTGTGCAGGGCCTGCGAACGGGTTTCCCATCCACCTCTGTCCCGCCTCCTCAGGTGCCGGGGGCAGGCCCACTGCCAGTGCTTCAACTGCCTGGCCCTCCTTCTTAAAGCACTTTGTAATGCTATAAAGAGAATCCCTTGGGCAAGGACTAAAGTTCTTTTTTATTTTTTGAGACAGGGCCTTGCTATGTGGTTCAGGCTGGTCTTGAGCTCACTATGTAGCCCAGGCTAGCTTCAAACTCATAGCGATCCTCCTGCCTCAGCCTCCCCAGTGCTGGGGTGACAGACATCTGCCACGATGCCTAGAACTGGGATTTTCAATGTGAAGTTGAGTGTTAGCATCGTGAAACTCGTGTGTCCAGCGTACTGCCTGTATTTTGCTTTCCCGTTTCCCTACTGCAGGCTGGAAAAGATCTGCCTGACTCAGCATGATCGCTAATACTGTGCACTAATAAAAAAGTTCACTCAGTCCTGGACGCACTTGAGATTAGCAAGAGTACAAATGTTCTCCAGCAGGAGGGTCAAATAAAGTGTAGTTAATTTATAAGATCAGCTCATCAAAGCAACAAAACAAAAATCGAACTAATGGAGAGATTTC